TAAATTCAGTCCAGCTATGTTTATTAGCTACAACCTCTAGCAAGAATCTTCCCAGACTAAAAGCTCCCAAAGTCCTCCAGCCACAACAGTGCGAATTCCTCAGGGAGGTGCCAGTCTCATCTTCTTGTTCCTCCCACGCGGTCCTGGCGAGCTAAGAAAATGCTTATCTCCCTGAGCTCGGCCTTCATAATTCCATTCCATCACAGCTGCCAAAGCACCCCCTTGACTGGGTGATTACGCTTTCGGGGTTCTCGGTTTTCAGACTGCAACCTGGAAGGCAGGACTGCTGACATACGCTCCAAAGGGCCAGATAAGCAATAAACTCTGCATAGAGGGGTTTGTAAATGTACAACACCACTTTATTGGAGCATGACAAGAGCAAACAGGTAGTCCTTGACTTACGGCCACAGTTGGGACTAGAACTTCTGTCGCTAAGTGATGCGGTCATGAAGTGAGTCGCACCTGATTTTAATGATCTTCTTTGCCACGATTGTTAAGCAAATCCGGCTTCCCCCGTTGACTTTGCTTGTCGGAAGCCCCCTGGGAAGGTTGCAATTGGTGATCATGTGACCTCAGGACGCTACAACTGCCGTAAATACATGCCAATTGCCAAGCGCCATAATTTTGATGACGTGACTGCAGGGATGCTGTGGCGGTTGTAAGTGTGAGGACCAATTGTAAGTCACTTTTTTAGCGTTGTCATAACTTCGAACGGTCGCTAAACAAATGGTCGTAAGTCAAGGACTACCTGTATATCGACAAGGTGTTGCACAATGCTTGCCGAACTACAATTCCCAGCATCCCGATCCGCCGGCCATTGAAATCCCAACCAGATTTACGCAACCTTAGCCTTCCCTCCCCGAATCTTTTCACCCTCCCTATCCAAACAGTCCCCATCTTCGCCCTCCCTTACCAGCACTGACAGTGACGGCGCTTACAAACTGCTCTCGCCAGCTGCTGCTTCCCACCACGAGAGCCAAGTTGGTTTTCTTGATTAATTTGTCCACAGTGCTCTGGAAAAGGGATAAAGAAGAAGTTGGGGAGAGTTGAAATGGGGGGGCTTGGGGGCTTTTCCCACCCACCCGAGATGGCAATCTAAAGATGAGGCTTTTCCTTCAACGTTGCCTCTGATCACTGGGGGCAACAACCTGGCCTGGGGTGGGCTGAGAATACCTCAAGCCTGGGGAGGGCTAGCCCCATAGAGGCCTTCAGCCTCCGATTTTTCATCCTCTTGGTCTCTCCTTCTCCTTTTTAGCAATGTTTTAAATTAAGGTTTTATGTGTTTATATATTTTATGTTCTAATGTTTGTTGTGAAACGCCCAGAGTTCCCTCATTGGGGGGAGATGGGCGGTTGAAAAATTTAATAAATAAAATAAATAAATAAAACAAGGCTAAGAGCAGGCTAAGAGAGCACACGTGGCGTGGAAGAAAAGGAGGCACGTTCCAAGAAGGTTGGGAAAGTAAGTAACATTTGTGGGATGAGAAGAATCAGACTTAATGAAGCTTGGCACAGAGGCCTGTCCACCTCTGATCAACTGGATCTAGATCCTTTGTACGAAAGCTAAAACTTGGCCGGACCAGTCACTAGAACCCAGATGGACAAACTCAAGCCCAACTACACGTTACTCGCAACCTTTGGGCTGCTGCTCCTCCAGATCTTTCCATTGACGGCAAATCCGTTCAAGTTCAGAACCGCGGTTTGTAGGACGAGAAAAGGGGGGAGCGATAAGGGAACAATTTGGGGGGGGGGGGTGGGTTGTTGCTGGGGTACGTTTAAGAAAAAAGGGACTTTCATTTTGGCCCTCCCGTTTTCTCCTTTGTTCATGTTCTCCATCCTCTCTTCGGGGAAACGGCCAAGTGGGGAGTTTGTGTTATCAAAAAGGTGGGGAGGAAGATCTGGAGCGTTCGGAGGGGGTCCTTCGTGGTTTTCATGTGACCCCCCCCAACTGAGACTCATGCATTGATTTTGTTCTTAGTTATTTTTTTTATCTCCAGAGGTGAGTTAGCTTGATGATTTCCTGTTACTCTGAACTGTGCAATGTTGCATTTGCCCTAAAACTGGCAGGTTGTGTGTGGGTCAACTTTGGAGAGAACATCTAACATCTAACCCTGCTTCACCCTGGGAAGGTGCAAAAGTTTGGGGAGGGCAGCGTGACAGAGATGCAGGTCTCTTATTACCTTGAACTCGTATGATTCCTCAATGATGACCTCAAGTTTGGGGTTGTCTCCCAAGCTGGGGTACCCCATCTTGGCCACCTTTTCTTCTTCTCCTTCGGGCAATTGATTCTCATTGGAGTCACCTAGGATAGAATGGGGGGGGGGGAAGAGATTGGGGTTCACCCCTCTGAAGAGCCTCCTTCCATCCCTCCCAGGTGGGTTTGGACACGGATGCCTACCTGTGCTCACTGTCAGCCCTTCGAGGTAGTCTAGACTAAGATACCAAGGTGATGTAGGTTAGGACTACTTTTATGGTAACATCTATAGCAGTGTTTCTCAACCTTAGCCACTTTAAGATGTGTGGACTTCAACGCCCAGAACTCTGGGGTTCTGGCTGGCTGGGGAATTCTGGGAGTTGAAGTCCACACATCTTAAACTGGCTAAGGATGAGAAACACTGATCTGTAGTAACAGAATCTTGCATGTCTGAATGTGCTTCTCCCTCCCTCTCTGTATCTTTGCATGAACTAGGAAAGGGCTTGCCTGAGACATTTTCTCAAGTTACTTTCTTGGCCTGGGCTCAATCCCCTCTTATCCGACACTGCCTTTGTAGCGGCTCTACCTCCTGTCTTTCAAGGCTACCCACGATGCCTTCTATATTGAACCACGGTTAATTAAATTAACCCAACGCTATAGGTCTGCACAGAACTCACATAATATGCTTCTGTGTGAACGGTCTCATTTTCTGGGGTCACAATTCACTAAAGGAAAGGGTGGCCTTGCCCCAAACTGCTAAGCCACCCAAAACAGAACCAGGTTTAAAACGAACCAAGGTTGTGTGAACCCAGGTACTACATTTCCACCAATCTGGTTAAGACCGGACTATAGATTTACCCTTTGAGTTGGGGGTGGCCCAACCTGTTAAGTGAAAATGGGATGGGAAACTGGCATTTGGGACTGAATTGGCCTCAACCCACCCCAGCTTCTGCCTCGCTGCTTGCCAGCTTCTCCACAGACATGGCTCCCATCCTTTTCCATCTACAGAGTAGACATTTTCCTCTGCTATGGAGAAACTCCCCCTGTTTCATGTCTACCTGCCAAGCTAGAAATCCCAAGTAGGTGTGTTTTTCTCTCTTCCTCCTTAGAGTAAGAACTGGGGAATTCTAGAGACGATGCTGTTTTTTCATCCCATACCCAAGATGGCTGGATTTGACTCTGCACCCCCAATCCCCAACCCTTCCACCAGGCCAGAGTCCTAGAATATAGGTTGGGACCTTGGGATCTCCCAAAGATTGCTGCAGGACCCATAGGGCCAACTGCAAGGGCTGCTGGGAGTTGTAGTTTGTGACCTCTGGAGAGCCATACATTTATCGGCTTCTTTCAACACGAAGCTCAACCCATTTTCCCTACAACGGTCCTCAGCCTTCGGTTCCTTCCCCTCCCATCTTCCTATCCTTACCGTGCCGTGGTCCTATGTCCAAGATGACCGGTGGCCCCAACTCCAGCTGAAAGTTCTTATTTTTTTCATACTCCTCATCATCGATAATTTTAATCTCAATGTATCTTCTGGGGGAGAGAAAGAAACCATATCAAACTGAAACTCCAACATCACCAAGGGAGGCAGAACGATGTCTTAACAGCTCCCCCCTCCCAAATGTTTGCTCCTTTTTAAAAAAAAAACTTTGCGCCTAGGTTTTCCAGCTGTCTCGAAAAGAGGCATGGAGCAAGCAAAGCTTATACAAACGTGAAGTGCTGAAAAAGCAACTTGGACAGGCAGGCAAAGAATTAGTAAATCTTAGATCCCCAATCTTCTGCTCACTGGTTCAAAGTTATGTTTCCCGCAATTACAACAAACCAGAACTTGGGTTTCATAAAAAAAGGAACTAATTTGAACAGAAAATATTGGCAGCTTGTTGGCTGGAAAGCTCCTGGTTTGGGGGATTAGTTTGGGGGTTCCCCATGGTGGACGCTTCAAGATCCCTTCTGGGTTTCCATGTATGATCAAGAAGACAGTGACCTTTCTCTGTTGTCCCCCAAGCAGCTCCAGGCTGACCATTTTTTCCGCTGCGTTTTTCCACTCGTGGCATTCAGCTAATGTGAAGAAAATCGCCTCGGTTTTTTTTTAACCTTCTCCAAAGGCAAAGAAATTTCATTTCCGTTCCCCTGGGCGAAGCCTCTGACTGCCCACACTTCAAATTGATGCCAAAGCAGCCATTGTCCCTAGGGCTTTTTGAGATGAAACTGAAAAAAATACGGGCAGAAAAAGAGGCTCAGGAGGTTAGAGAAAGGCATAGTGGGGAGGACATCCTGCAGTAGCCCCAAACCCAGGAAAATAAATTCCAAAATCAGCTTGCTGATAAGAGAAGAGAGGGGGAAAAACATCCGTGCAGCTAGATGACAGCTTTGATAGAATATTACACCAAATGTGGAGGGGATGGGGGGGGTCTTAGCATGGCAAACAACAGCCTGGACCCCCCAAATAAAACAAGCACCTTTTTCTTGCAAAGGAGATCAACACGTGCAGAAAACATTTGCAGGTTTAATTCTGGTCTGCTTGGCCGCTGCTCAAACATGCCCAAACTGGGTCAAAGAGGAGAAAAAGGCTGACGCTGGGTTATTTTTTATTCCCCCCCCCCTTTGGAAGAGCTCTGCCTCTGCACGCCTGTAGCTAGCTTCGAACTCGGTGCTCCTCCTTGGTCATGTCTGGCACCTTTCCCTCGCTTTGCACGGCACCCTTCCAACACACTTGCTCCCACGGGCAACGGCCCGTTCACGCCGGCCCCTCTTCGCGCAGGGCTGGCTTGGGTCTCCCCCCTCCCAGCTTTTGCACCATCCAGCACACGCTGTCGACCCAGCGTCCCCTCCTCACCGCTTTCCCCAATTAGGTCAACGTCTGTCAAACTGGGAGGCTACGACAAGATTTAACATTTCCAGAAATTAATTCCGTGTGTCAGAGGCTGGAGGCTGGGAGGCCGTGAAGCAGGAAAGTGGGAAAGGGTTTGAGAGGGAGAACGGTCTCCCTCTAAGCCCCTGGACCCGTTGCTTCTGCTGGAGCAGTTGCATTCCTGCAATCTCTGTATTTTTAGCATGGAACAATGGTACCTCTGAGCATGGGTCAAGTGCCATAGATTGAAATAACTCTCCAGACCCATTTGCATTCTCTTAATAGCAGCCTATAGTGTCAACACTAAACAAGATGTTAATAAGGGTATGTATGAGTGTGTGTGTGTGTGTTAAACTCTGATGTATCTTCTATGCTTTTTAATTGACGGTGCCCCACCCTCCTTATGCCGGTCTATGGCCGCAGTAAAGGTTTGATTAATTGATTGAGGGATGTGCCTTTTTTATTTTTTAGGGGGCTAACCAGGTAACGAAACGCTGCAGCTCGATTTCAGGAATTTAGGAGAGAGAAAAAAATGCTGAATTTATGCTAGGTGAACGTTCGTATGAAATATTAACATGGTAAAGGGATAGAAAACCCAGGGGATTTGGGGATAGGTCCGGTGTGTTTCTGGTTCAACTTGCTGGCTTCATGCAACATGCTTATCCAGGTGAGTTTGCGTGACATATTAAACCTGGTTAGGGTTAACTTGGAGTAAGGTGTGGTTGATTTGTTGCTGTTGAGCTTCACAAGTCGGCTTTGCTCGGCTTGTTGGATCTGTGCTCGCTGGATTCCTCTTTCTGAATTTCTAGTGTTTTTTAGACTGGCTCCCTCTGTGTCACCCAGGGCGCGTGCGTGAGTTTGAACAACCCTCCGTGCTTAAAATGTGCGCCTGGCACGCTTTGGGTGGAGGGCAAACCCGGGCAATGGTGAAGTCTGAAGCAGACAAGAGTCACCCCACCCTGGAGGGGATCTGGAGGGTCTTCACCCACGTAGGGACCCTCCACCTGAGTAGTAGATTCTTGCACCAGGTAGGGGGTCAGGCTAGATGACCTTCAAAGCCCCTCCCTGCCCTCATGATCTATGATTATACGAAGGGAAGGGAATGAAGTCTCCAAAGATGGTCTTTTGGGGGGGCCACCTCCCCACTTTGGAATAATGGATCCCCCAAGGTCTATCGGTCCCCAATCTGTGGACATTTCAGCAGGCTGTTAAAACTATTTTATCGGATGAAGCGTTCAGCGGTGGTGCTCGTCCTTAATTGATTTTTGGGGGTTTCATTTTGGTTATCCGTTTCGCCTTGTATTTTGGTTATCTATTTTGTTTCGGGGGGGGGGTTGGCTCTGTCTTGTGGTTACTGATCTTTTTAAAGATGATTTTATTGTGAATTATGTATGCTGGCATTTGGCTGCTTTGTGACCCTGTAAACCCCAAAGGGTCATTTCAGGTCAGCGGGGCAGAAGCGACTGCAATAAATAGTAATGAAATAAAATTCAGGGACACGTGGACGAACCACGTTTTAACGCACTGTATAAACAGGGCTAAAGGCTGAATTTGCCCATTGTATAAAGCCCATTGTGGGACTGTGGTTTATCCAATACTCCACAATGGCTCGGTTCTTGCCACGTGCTGAACCATAAATCACGGTTTGCAAACTACCACAATCAGATTTACAAACCCCACTAAGCCACATTCTGACAAACTGCAGTTTCAGTAAGCATAAAGAATCATTCTTTCCCATGTCTTTTTTTAAATCTTCATTTTTCTCCTCCAAATTTTCCCCGCAACAACAACCCTGCGGGGTAGGCTGGGCCGAGGGAGAGCGACTGGCCCAGAGTCACTGGGTGAGCAGAAACCTGCATATCTACTCATTGATATTTTTAACTGATGCTTTGTCTGCCATCTTGAAAAAGAGGTAAAACCTGGAAAAGCGTTTTCAAAGATAGGCAAAAACTTCAGAGCTTGTACCACCATCAGAAAAATTTAAAAAAGGAACATTTTGTACCAAAATGCAGTAAAAACAGCTCCACCACTGCCCTGCTCCTGTGGCTTGTAACTTTTCTGGATTATTATAAACATTTCTCATCCGCCCGCTGAGTAATTCCCATCGCGGCCGACTCCATCCCGCCCAAAAACCATTAAAACGAATTAAAAACAGTTAAATCTGACAAACGGTGTACCAGAAGCAAGAAAATTCTTAATGACGAACCACGTAATGCTCCGGATGGAAATAAAACCAAGTCATCAGAAGCACGGAAGGATTCGGGAAGGGGGCGCGTGTGTGACACTGAAGACCTTAAGACCATCTTCAAGTCGAGAACTTGGAAAAGAAGAAAACGGACACCCCCCTCCCTCTTACTTGCTTTTAATTGGGAATCTGATGGCGGCTTTTGCAATTCCTGGGCTGTGTTTTAGGCGGCTGGAATGGAACGATCCAGCACAAGAATGTTTTCAATGAAGAAAACCCATGGAGACAAACCATGATGCCACCACCAAAGAGGCCATACTCCAGATCATGAGTTGCCGTACACTGATGAATGCCGATTTCCGATTTTCAAGGCCCTTTGACTAGTTACCCTCTGGGGAGGGGTGCACCCTCCCTTTACCCGCCTTCATTTGGGCCTAATCCACCAAACCCTGGGGGAAGCGAGGATTAAGCAAAGCAGTAGCCATCTTTCTAGCTCCTCTCGCTTATCCCGTTGCTCAGAGAATGCAGAAGAAGACCTGGCATGGCTGGCCGAGTTCAGCAGAGGGCCCGTTCTGCTGGGTCCACCTCCACAAGAGCCCGGCTGTGCTGACCCATGCTCGGTTTTGATCTGATTATTATGATAATCCACCCGTTCTCCTCAGTATCCACACCCACCTTCCTTCCCTCCCCACCGTTTTCCATCTGTCAGGGTCCCCATGCCGTTATCTTACACCGTCTCATCGTTCTGGAATTCCACCTTGCCAGCGACTTCCTCGTAGTCCTCCCCGGCTTTAGCAGTGCCCTCGATGGTATGGAAGGGGATGGCCACTCGCCCGCGGGCCCCTGAGGTCCTCAACACTTTGATGTGCACGACGCCGACACTTTCGCTCACCCGCATGGAGGGCCCCTCAAAGGTAAAGATGCCGGCGTGGTCGTCATCAAAGATCGTCACGGTGGCCATCTTGGAGGGGCCAAGACAAGCTTTGGGGGGAGGCTCAGGACCCGGCTCAGCCCAGGCTGCCCGGACATTGCTGAGGTGGACATAAAAGTACTCGTCCTCTTCGAAAATATCATCATCGATGATCCCAACCCGCACTTCCTTGTGTGTCTCCCCCGGCTTAAAGAGCAAGGTACCCTCTGCAAATTCGTAGTCCGAACCAGCGTTAGCCGTCCCGTCCTCCGTGCGGAAGTCCACTCGCACAGTGACGCAGGCCAGGTCCCCTCCTCGGCGGACCACGGTCAGCACGACAGAGCCACAGTTCTCGAAGCACTGATAGTGACCTGGCTCGAAACCCACTTTGGTCACCGACTCGTCTTCCTCTGTCCGCACTTCTTGCATGCTTATCGCTTTGCGGGCCTGATCGGCCGCATGCTTCTTGAGGATGTTTCCCGCTCCGATCATCATACGGGTGGCCTGGATGCGGTAGAAAGCTCTGCTTTTCTGCTGCTGGACAAGTACATGATAATTGGCCATTTCGATCAGTTGTTCCATGTCTTTTTCTGGGTGCTTTTGTTTGAGGTCCCGCAACGTGCGAGCCATGTCCCTGCGGGCTTCTTCATCTTGGTCCTTGCTCGCGTCCACCAGACCTTCAGACCCTTCCTTTAGCGAGTTATCCATCTCTATGTCCATTTTGGGATAGCCGGCTTCGCCCTCGCTCTCTATGATGAGACCCCGCGACTTATCGGCGCGGTATTTTTTCTGGACATACTTGTAGAAGAGGAGTCTCCTGTCAGCCACCCAAGCCTGAACCACACAGATTGGGAAAAAGAGAAAGGTGAGGAGACCTTCCCATAGTTCCACCACGCCGGGAGAGAACCAGGCCAAGATGAGGTACAACCAGATGTAAGCAAAGATGCTCCACGCAGCTGTGACAAAGAAAACCCGCAGATGTTTGATGCGCCGTATCTCCCCTTGAGGGACCACGTGGATGCAGACGGCGATGATGATGAACATGTTGAAGGCAGCGCTGCCAACGATGGTGCTGGGTCCCATGTCACCTGCATGAAAGCCGTGACCCACAATCTCAATGATAGAAAGGAGGATCTCGGGGGCAGAGGACCCTAGCGCCATTAGGGTTAGGTTGGAGACAGTCTCGTTCCAGATGCGGATGGTGGTAGTCGTGGTCTCCCCGTTGGGTTTCTTAATGGTGATCTCCTTTTCCTGCGAAGTGATCACTTCGATGGAGGCCATGAAGCGGTCGGCAACGATAGACATGCCCAGGAACATGTAGATTAGGGCCACAAAGTAAACAATGGCCCGGGCCACCTTATCCCCTACAGAAGGATTCTGGGGGAGCCACACCGGTAAGATCACACCTTCCTGGCACTCGGTGGTCTCCTGACACTTAGTGCTATGATTGCCACCATCTGCAGAGGCTGTCCCAATTCTGGGTGGGCCCAAGTAGTCATCCACTGTTGCCAGCAGCGAGGGGAGGAACAGAGCCAAGAGCAGGGCTGAAGGCTTCAGCTGAGACAGGCAAGGCATGATGGAGAAGGTGGCCCTGGTGGGAGAGGAAAGAAAGGGTTACTGAGGCCAGGACTCAGAGCTGACATTTTGGTCTCTCAGAATGTTTGGTGTGGCAGGGCCATTGCTGGACAAGAGATGATTAACAAACACTCCAAACATGGCTCGCAAAGTTATCCCCTAAAACAGTGTTTCTCCACCTTGGCAACTTTAAGACAGGTGGACTTCAACTCCCAGAATTCCCCAGCCAGCATGTTGAAGTCCACCTGTCTTAAAGTTGCCAAGGTGGAGAAACACTGCCCTAAAGTAATCCTCAAGTATGTTGGAGTACAATGATCATTCTGACTAGGGCTTCTGGGAGTTGTAGCCCAATGTTCTGGAGGACTTGTAGTGGGGACCAAGGGAACTAGTTACCATAATCAGGATCTCTAGCTCCATCTGGCCTCCCAGGATCCTTTCCATCATGGATGAGATCCTTCCAGCGATGCTGAACTTTAATTCCCATCATCTCTAATTATAGGCAGTGCCTCCTGGGGCTGATGGAACGTGGAGTTGAATAAGAACAGGAGGGAGGAGTTTCCTCACTCCTGCTCTTCTTAATAAGATGGTCAAGGGAAGACTTCTTGATCTGTAGGCCATCTCCTTTGTTTGGAGGTTTGTCAATGAGATGTCCAGTGTAAAGGGAGAAAAAATTAAGCTGGGAGAACAGAAGGGCCCAACCCTCCTCATGCAATCATCAGTCTGTCTTCTCTGCGAGAGCAGGATGAATCAGAAGCCTATTTAAATATATTTATTTACATCTATGTTTTTGTGCAAGACTTTCTCAGATGGACTTTCATCCAAGGAAAAGTAAGAAGAGCAGGGTCGAGACAAGGCACCCGGCCAGCGAAGTCTTTATATCAGAATCAAGGCAGAACCCAACTCCCTGATTCTTCATTCTACATTGATGGATTCTGACCTTGACCTCGACTTAGCCACCCGACCCACGCGAGCGTTGACGCTGTTGCGCCTAGACAGAGGAGCGCGAGGTTACTTGAAAAAGCATCCAAGTGGTCTACTTGGGAGAAATGGCCTACGTGGGAGTAAGATATGTCTCCTAAGGAGCAGAGTTTCTGCAACTAGCGTTGATCAATGAATGCCAACTGTATTTGGGTGGGGGCCAGTATTGTTTAAGCTTCTGCCTGCAGAAAGGTTAGAGCAACTCAGATGGCTTTGCTCCAGAAGCATTTGGAAGTCTGTCAACTTTATCTAGACCTGACACTCTACCCTCTAGACTCTGACAGCCAACAAGAATCATTGTGTGCTTCGAATCCTGATCTGGACGATAATTAGACTGTGGTTGAATAATATTAGCATGAGAACCTCTTGGAGAAGTGACCTTGGGTGAGGTCACTTCTTTGTGAAGCTCATGGGACAGAGCACACGCAAATATAATTCAAGCTGGGACCCGCTTTTGCTCCTGTGAATTGTCCTTGTTTTTAGTATCAGCGAACCCTCTACAGCAGGGTTCCTCAACCTTGGCAACTTTAAGACGGGTGGACTTCAACTCCCAGAA